GGGACACTTGCATGGTGCCCAAGAAAGGACCTGCTGGGGGCCAACACGGGAGTCATTGAGCAGATCTTAGTCTTCCTGCCTCTGGAACAGTGACTTTGGGGTCAGGAAGGAGACAGATCTAAATTGTAAATCCTATGTGTGCATGTCACTTGTGTGTATGTGTGTCGATCTGTCAGTCCCTGGATGTTCTGGGTTACTGGTTGGAACTATACTCATCAAAGTAGGGGACTCGTGCCCTCCGGACATGGGTAGTAGTTCCATTCTTCGCTTTTAGCCTGGAGTTTGAAGTATGCAGGAGCTGAGTGAGTGGATGGGCCAGGCTTTGGGAGCTGAGAAGAGAAATGGCTGTGAGGAGCTCCCTGGACCCTTCTGGGTTTGTTTGTGTCTCCTGGGGGGAGGGTGGGGGTGGGGCTGCAGGCAGCAGCTGCCCCCCTTGCCAACCCAGCCGGCCTGCCCTGTGCCAGGAGGGCAGGGAGTCCTGGCACAGCTATTGTTCACTTGCACAAATGCCCGTCTGTTTGCATGGCTCCCCCTCCCTTTCTCTCCGCTTGTCTCTCTCCTGGCCCGACAGGTGTGGCCGGGTGGGGGGCAGGCTAGGGTCCAGGGTGTTGAGTCTCAGGGTCTGTGGCCTGATTATATTTCCTGGCTCTCAGCACCCCTTTTCTGCTGCCCCATTGCCACCCCCATTGTGCCTTGTCTCATCATCATCATTAAGCAAGTGTTATTAAGTGCCTTTGTGTGTGCGATGATCTTCCTATGCTGTGGCTGGCTATGCCATTAATGTTTCCAGCCACCTTCTCTGAGTCTCCTGTCCTTTTCTAGGCCTGACTAAGACTGTTGCAAGTCTTCCTCCCAGTCTCAAAGTCAGGAACCCTCTCCCTCCACATTGCCCAGCCCTGGAGCTCGTCCCCTGTGACTCAGTGCTCCTCACAGCCAAGGACTGAGCTCCTGCTGAGCTCAGGCCACTCGAATCCCAGCAGACCCCTCCAGTACTCTCTGGTCCCCATAACAGGAGGGTTTGGACAGAGGGGTCCAGGGGAAGTGACAGCTGCCAGTTGCAGCTACAGTGCAAGTGCTCCTAAGTACCCTGTGATTCTCCAAGATCTTGGGGAGGACTTCTGCAGTGGAGAAACAGTCAGTGAGCGCAAAGGCCTGGCTCTGACAGCCCCGGGTTGTGGGGCAGAGGTCTCTTGCTCTAACTCACTAGTGAGGCTGTACAGTACACTGGGGGGCACAGGAAGCCAAAGTCCAGGCTGGGGCACTGCCTTGTCCTTCATGGCACAACTGTTTCCATCTCTCAGGCTGGAAAGCAAAGTGGAAAGAGGAGAGGAAACCATGTCCAATTTCAAACATCCCAGCCTTCAGCCATAAATAATGCCCTCCACCTCTGGCTTGTCTTTTCCCAGAGTGACCAAGAACTGGGATGAGAGTGGAGGGGGAGGGGTGTTGATTTTCTTTCTTTCTTCCTTTCTCTCTTCCTTCCTTTCTCTCTCTCTCTCTCTCTCTCTCTCTCTCTCTCTCTCTCTCTCTCTCTCTTCTCTTTTTTTTTTTCCTTTTTGAGACAGGGTTTCACTATGTATTTCAGGCTGGCCTTGAACTCACTTTGTAGCCTAGGTGGGCCTTGGACTCACAGTGATCCTCCTGCCTCACTCAGGCTCCTGAATGTGTGTATATTTTTTCTGACCTTCAGAGGAAACCTCTGTGTTCTAAACTTAAAGGAAGTGAGAAAAAAGGGCCAGGAACCCTTTTGGAACAGGGAAAGGGGAAGAGGCTAGAGGGCTTCATAAGAAATGAAGGGGGTCCCCAGAGCAGGGCCATAGAAGCTGGACAGCAGAGAACCTATGGGCACTAGGACTATGTACAGATTGGGCCATGGAGGTGAAGTTTGCCTGTTTGGGGATGTAAATGGAAATCAATGTGATTTTTGTTAAAAATACCTGGAAGAGAATAGGGCAGAGAAACCAGTTCACTCACTCCATCCCTGGTAAGCAGACCCCGTGTCCTTCCATCCTCAACGGCCTGAGCCCTGGGCGGGCACAGGCCACCTCAGGGACAATAGTGCTAGGCAGTGCCAGGGCCTCATGCTGCTGGGCAGTGCCCATGCTGGGATGTGCTGCTGCTGTAGCTGCTGCCCGCTGCTGGCCCACCTAGAGAGGGGGTCACTTCGAGAGAGGGTGAGTGTTGGGAGGTGGAGGAGGCAAGTTCCAGAGTCCCTGAGCTATCTATGGGGCATCCGTAGCAGGGAGAGGAAGGGCTACTAGACACCTCCTCTCTGGCTGCCCCAGCTCTTCGTTCCTCTGGCACTGCCATCAGGACGGGCTGGGCAGTTGAGTGTGAAGGCAGGAGTAGGGCAGGCAGAGGTCCATATAGAGAGGGAGGCTTGTGGACTCGCCGCCCTGGCACAGTAGCAGCGCTAGGGCAGAGCTACAGCACAGCAGTGACCTGGCCAGCCATGCTCTTTTTAATGCTGCATCCATGTTTGCTTCCTTTTAATTCAAATGTTATGCATGTTCAGACTTTCAGTGTGGGTCACAGAGAAGGCTGAGAGGACAGGAGGAGAGAGTAGACATGAGTGGGAAGAAGTTGGGCTTGGTCTTTGAAGTCCTACAAGGCGCTAATTTAGGGGTGACTTATGTTCTAAATATAATAAATCCGTTAATGAGCTGTATCTTAGGAGTAAGATGTATGGAGAGTAGACCCACAGGAGACTTTGCTAGTGATTCAAGCAAGTGGGTCCCAACACAGCAAAAGTAGCTCAAGCTCTGACAGGGCCCAGGGGAAAAGGAGAGGGAGCTGATGCAGAGGGAGAAACACAAGCAAAAGCAAGGCCAGCAGAAAAAAGACAGATGGAGGAGCAGAGGAGAGAGAGCCTGAGCTGAGAAGGAAGGGGCCATGGAGAGAAGACCAGGGGATAAGGAGAGCAGGAGGAAGGGAAGGGAGGAGAGAAAGTAGGTGTGCCGCTGCTGCCTATCGCTGCTGCCCATCGTGTGTGGGGTTGAGAGGCTGGATGGTGGAGCAGGAGTAGCCTCCAGGCCTGTACCCCATCAGGCTGAAGAGAGGCGGGAGAAGAGGATCTTGGCCACTAGGGTGGCCCGTGCCCTCTGCCCCTGTTTACTTGCCCTCCACACTTCCCCTTTCTGAGCCTGGCCTCCCTGCCCCCACCGCCTAGTCTACTGCCCCTGTGCCCATCTGCCGTCAGGACTGGTCTCATCAGGCTCGGGCTGAGGGGGGGAGTCACTGAGTTGGAATTCTGTGCCCAAGGCTTCTGCCAGCGTCAGTTTGCGGTTCATACATTTGGCCTCAGCATTTTGGATCCCATTTTTGACTTTTTTTTTCTCCCTCCCCTCCCCTCACTGTTCCACCCCTTCCCTTCCTTTCACAGTGCTGGGGATGGATGGAACCCAGGGCCTCACATAGGCCAGGCCAGCACTGTACCACTGTACCAGACTACATCCGCAGTCTGCCTGCCTACCTGCCTGCCAGGCTGGCTGGCTGGCTGGCTGGCTGGCTTTCTTTCTCTCTCTCTCTCTCTCTCTCTCTCTCTCTCTCTCTCTCTCTCTGTTTCTTTCTTTCTTTCTTTCTTTCATATTTTGTGCGAAGTCTCCCTATGCAGTTCAAACTCATAGTGATCTTCTTGTTTTCAGCCTCCCCAGCACTGGGGTTACAGGCATGTGCCACCATGCCCAGACTCCAGCCCTTTTCTTTTGCTTGAGACAGGACTGCATAGCTTGGCCTCAGCCTTGCAGCCCACCTGCCTTAGCTGGGCTTTCAGGGATGCAATACCACTCCTTACTGCTCTTTGGTATCTGAGAAGCTGAGAGCCCTTGAAGGGAGTGGTTAGCTGGTAGCAGTGCTTTCTCCTCCGAGAATGGAGAGATGAAACAGAGACCAGAGGTGAACACTGAGGAAAATTCTGGGATAGGTGGAATGAATGATATTCCATCTTCTCACCCATTCAGGCTTTTGGGGAAGCTCAGTGGCTTGAGGGACACAGGAGCTCAGGGAGAATGACCTGACTTGGAGGCCAGGAGGAGGCTGAAGAGAAAGCCAAGAGGGGAAAGGCCTGTCTTAGAGGTTGGAGGAGGGACACACAGTGATCCATCTCTGTGGAAGCCAGACCTGAAGGATGGATGGGAGGGTGTCAGAAAGGACTTCCTGAGATGGAGTGGTACACAGAGAAGCAGCGTCCAAGGAGCTCCCCTAGTTTTTGTCTTTGAACAAATAGTTTGAGAATGGTAAAAATTAGACTGCAGAGAAGTTTCCTACCCAGATGACCAAGCTGGCTGCCTGAGTTTCCTTCCTTAAAGGTCCCAGAGAGGAAGAGTGACCTGCCTAGGGCTGGTGAGGGATAAGCGGCCTCCCCAAGAGGGCCCCAGTAGGCCTTGACTGAGTGGGGGTGGAAGAGTTGGAGGTTTGGGATCATAACCTCCAGGTTAGGGGTGACCAGGAAAGCATCTGCCCCTCCTGTCAATCCAAGGGGATTTCCTACCCCCTCCCGCCACCTCCCCATGACTGCTGGGAGACAGCGGCTCCAACACCGGTTGTCATGGTTATGAGAAGAGCTAACTCCCATAGATTGGGAAAGCGCTGGTGAGCTGGCACCCTCTGCTGTGCCGCTCTCCCCTCCTCTCTGCGCATCTTCCCCCGGCACAGAAAGAGCGTACAGCAGCTCGGGGGCGACAGAGCTAGGGCTGGGAGGTGGAGTGAGGACGTGGAGATCTAGAGCCGGGGAGATGAGTGGCAACAGGAGGCAGCCCAGCCGCAGGGGCCAGGTAGGTCAGGGACTCAGAAGCCCTTGGCAACGAGGTGCCCCAAGGGCTGGCTACTCCAGGACAACTGCCTCTGGCACCTGCAGCAGGCCATGCTTTAGGGAGGGGTGCCTTTCTAGCCTTCCAGGCAGGTGCTTCTTTGCCTCTGTCCGCCTGCAACCTGTCTGTCCAGATGCCAGGCACCCTGGTATCGACCATCCTCACTTTCTGTCTGTCTTGTCCCTTCCACAGACCCGGGAAAAAGAAAGGATGAAGGAAGCCAAGGATGCCCGCTATACCAATGGGCACCTCTTCACCACCATCTCAGTGTCGGGCATGACCATGTGCTATGCCTGTAACAAGAGCATCACGGCCAAGGAAGCCCTCATCTGCCCAAGTAAGTGGTTTTGCCCCTGTCACTCAGATTTGCTGCCTGCCTACCCTAATTTGCCATCTGACCTTTCTGCCTGGGATCTGTAAGGGGAACTTTCCTCTGAGCCCCAGCTGGGTCTGAGGGCCAGGACCGGATGCTTGTGCCCTTGTTCCTCTTCCTTGCACAGACAGGGTGATGGCTCCTGGAGTATGGCACAGGCAGGTCTATCTGGCGATGTGGCAGAGGGATTCCTGGATGCCATCCTGTGCAGCTGTTACCCTGTGGGTATCTCCCTTGCTCCCAGAACAGCTGCAGAGAGTTATGAGAACTGATTGGAGAAGAAGCAGGAATGTGCAGGGAGGGGGTGATGCAGGACTGCAGGGAGCTGCCAGCCTCCAGCTGGCCCTGTCCATCTTCCTTGGCAGATCTGGATGTTCAGGACTTTAGGGTCTCTTGTCCCTTCCTATTGCCTGGGTGGGGTCTGGAATCTGTACTGTTTGAAGGAGAGGACAGAATTAGGAGTCTCCTCCCAAATTCTCAGCCTGACAAGACAGTGAGAAGGGAATACGGTAGAGGATGCATGTGTATTGTGAGGAAGGGCTAGAACTCAAGGCCTGCACTTTGGGAGCATAGCAGGGGATTCCCTCCTTCTCCATGAGACCTATGGAGGGGGCTTCCGCTCTGCCCTTCCCTCAGTTCCTCCTGATTTAAGAGCAAAGAGTTGCCTCTGCTTGGATTAGGATTGTGACTTTCCACTAATCAGAGGGATGAAAGCTCCAGCCTCAGATCCTTGTGGCACTGGGAGAAGAAACCCCCAGAAAGAACCATGGAGGCCTCCCTCCCTCCCTCTGACCTTTCTGCTCTATTTAGAGTTAGGACGAGGAGGGAACCCCAATCTAGATGCCTCTAGAGACCTAACGACATACCCAATCCGGAAGCTTGTTGCCAGGGGAACTGGGGAGGCAGGCAGGGCTATTTTGAGAGCAGGTGGAGAGCGGAGGTGATCAGAGACATTAGGTGTTGGGGGCAGCAGAAGGAGCTCCAGGGAGGTGGGGGCTGCTGCAGCCCACGCTCTGTCTGCCCCTCTGCCCCACCCTGTTGGCCTTGTATTTGTGGAAGTGAGCATGGTGCTGGGTATTGTGTGAAGGAGTTCGCAGTTTCCGGTGTGGTGTGGGGGAGGGGAAGCTGGGGCGGGCCAAGGGCTGAGGGCATGTTCAGGAAAGGACAGTGGTGGTGGCTTGGGCCTGTGCTTTGTAACAGATCCTTTTTCCTCTTCTCCCCTCCCCATGGCAAGGTGGGGCAGAGGAAGGGGGAGAAGCAGATGGAGTGTGGGAGCTGTGGGTTTGCCCTACACAGGGAACAGGGCTCCCCCAGCCTGGCAAGAAAAAGGCAGCCTACCTGGAGGCGGTGCACGGGGCTGGCAGGCTTGGCAGGGAAGGGCAGGGCCAGTCCGAGTCTCCCACTAGATCTGCCAGCCTTGGAACTAGGTAGGCCTAGACAGAGGTCACAGGCAGACATGTGGGGGGAAACAGGAGCATGGCCTTTGGATTCAGGCAGCCAGAGTTGAAACACCAGCTCCAAGCCAGCTGCTTGACCAAGGCAGGTGATTTTACTATCAGTATGAGGGTAGTTTAGTCATCCTGTGGGGCTGTGGGTCCAAGCAAACCAGAGCTCGGGGAATATCGACTCCTTTGCCCTAGCCCCACTCCAGCAGCCGCCTGCCAGCTTCTCTTCTGTGGGAGTCCTCTCTCCATCTGCCATCTCAGCCTCCTTCCTGCTTCTTGAGCTCATCCCTGGCAGCAGTCACTCTTCTCCCTCCAGTCCACTCCTCAGGCCCTTTGGTTCATGGCTGTGCACCCCTCCTGATTGCTTAATTTCCTTCCGTGTGCAGACCCCTCTCACTTCATTTCCTGCCCCAAGGAAGAGGGAGGTGAAGGAGAGGGGATGAAGCCTGGGAAGTGGGCGAGCATCTGAGGACTGTACGGCCAGGGGGTGTTGGGGGCCTGCATGGGTGTGTCCCTTCCTGTACCATCTGCCCTCCCTTCATCCTCTCTACCCCACCTCCCAGCCTGCAATGTGACTATCCACAACCGCTGTAAAGACACCCTGGCCAACTGTACCAAGGTCAAGCAGAAGGTGAGATGGCAGGGAGGGCAGAGGGCTGGGGGAGAGGGTAGTGAGTGTGCATTCCCTATGGCTTCTATCATTCCCTGTCCTGTGTACCTCAGCCCTTGCCTCACGCGTGGGGCTCCCCAGATCCTCAACCCTAAGTCCCAAGCCCTGGGCACAGCCACCTGATGCCCTTGACCACAGTGTTAGCTTTCTCCTGAGGTGCCAGCTGTCCACCTCCTGCCCCAGGCCCACAAGAGCAATACTTGGGTGACAGATCCTTGGGTGACAGCCCTTCTTGTGTCTCTTTTGCTCTGTCTCACAGCAACAGAAAGCCGCTCTGCTGAAGAACAACTCTGCCCTGCAGTCTGTTTCTCTCCGCAGTAAGAGTGAGTAGTGAGGCTTGGGCAGTCCCCTAAAACCTGGGACCCCTCAGGCTGTTCAGCCTATGGGCTCTGCTGCCCCCCTGAGGTCACTCCTGGGGACAGCATCTTCTCAAGTGGAAAGAGTGGGTTTAGAAGTAGGACAGGAGGGTCCCCACTGGGGATAAGCTGAGAAAGCTGAGCATCTGAGTGCAGCCACATCATCATCATCATCATCATCATCATCATCATCATCATTATCATTATTATTAATTGCAATCAATTTGGGGGCTTGTTGGTAGCAACTGTCTAGTGTCAGTACAGAGAGTACATCTCTGCTAACCATTGTTGGGTCACCCTGGATGGACCTTGGCCCCCTTCAGAGTGCTTATGGTGGGTTTTGGAAAGGAGATAAAATAAGAAAAGGTTCTTGGTGAGCAGCGCAGGATCGCAGGCATGAGGTAGCATCATCACCCTTGCCATCTTCCTTCCACTAAAGCGGGGATTAGGTGGGCGGCGGGGATGGCATGTGTCTAGGCGAGGAACCAGGGAGACAGGGTCTTGGGAAGGCACCAGAGTTTGATGTTCGCCTGCTTGGCTTCTTGCCCTGACAGCAACCACCCGTGAACGGCCTAGCTCTGCCATCTACCCCTCTGACAGCTTCCGGCAATCCCTCCTTGGCTCCCGGCGTGGCCGCTCCTCCTTGTCTTTAGCCAAGAGTGTTTCTACCACCAACATTGCTGGGTGAGCCTATCTAGAGATGAGGGAACCAGGCAGTGGAGAATGTGAGCCCAGGGCACTGAGAGGTTCTTTTGTGTCCCTGGAGTTCAGAACTGTAGACGGGGTGGAAGGAGAACATAGAGTGCCTGCCTGTGATTCCCTGTCTGGGCCAGGACCCCTGACCAATGAAGGTGATGCAGGCTGCCTCTGCTTCCTTCAGACATTTCAACGATGAATCTGCCCTGGGGCTGCGTCGGATCCTCTCTCAGTCCACAGACTCCCTCAACATGCGGAACCGAACCCTCTCAGTGGAATCTCTTATTGATGAAGGTAGGTATACTCTGGCCTAGGGGCAACTTGGGAATATGAAAGGGCTGACCACATGGGGTTGGTGAGGGCATCCTGGGAAGGGCCTCAGGAAGAGCTCAGGCCTCTGCAGAGAGAGTTTGGCTCTGAGGTGCTGCCCCACTGATGTCTAGGTGCAGAGGTGATCTACAATGAGCTGATGAGTGACTTTGAGATGGACGAGAAGGACTTCTCAGCCGATTCCTGGAGCCTGGCTGTGGACAGCAGCTTTCTACAGCAGCATAAAAAGGAGGTGATGAAGCAGCAGGATGTCATCTATGGTAAGCTGAGTCCACGTGGTCTTTCTCTTCCTCCACCAGGTCCTGCTGATGTGTCCTGCTTTCTGCCAGCCTCTGTCTCTTGAGGTCCTTTCCATCCCAACTCATTGGTCCCTACAACCCTGCCTGACATCACTTTGTCCCTAGTGCCCCCTCTGCTCTTTCTGTCTGGGCACCAAACTTTTTTTGCTACACCAGAGCTGTCTGCACTGACACTGGACAGTTGCTACCAACAAGCCCCCAGATGCATTATAATTAATAATAATAATAATAGTAATAAAGATGTGGCTGCACTCAGATGCTCAGCTTTCCCAGCTCATCTCCAAGGCTCCATCTTTATTCTTTTCCCCCCAGTCCTCTGTCTATACTTTGCCTCTTTCATGCCCAATTCTTCTGGGAGTGTAAGAAACCTAGACATGTAGAAAATACATGATTCTTACACTAAAATAGCTTATGGTTTGACATGACAAAGCATAAAGATTAAAAGCAAAGGGGCTGGGGAGATGGCTCAGTGGAATAAGCACTTGCCTGGCAAGCGCAAGGGCCTGAGTTCAATCCCGGTTCCACCAAAAAAAAAAAGCAAAGAACTAGAAAATTAAAATCACAACAATGCAGGTTTTTATCTAAAAGGAACCAGTTTAGAGCCCCACGAAGGTGGCCAAGCCAGAGAAGGCCAGGTGTCGTGTTGTTCCCACCCCACAGAGCTAATCCAGACTGAGCTGCACCATGTGAGGACGCTGAAGATCATGACGCGCCTCTTCCGCACGGGAATGCTAGAGGAGCTGCAGTTGGAGCCAGGAGTGGTCCAGGGCCTGTTCCCCTGTGTGGATGAGCTCAGTGACATCCATACACGCTTCCTCAGCCAGCTGTTGGAACGCAGGCGCCAGGCCTTGTGCCCTGGCAGTACCCGGAACTTTGTCATCCACCGCTTGGGTGACCTGCTCATCAGCCAGGTAGGAGAGGCAGGGCCCCTCAGTGATGTTCATAGCCGGCTGTGTATGCTGATGACTAGAGTGAGCTGGGCTTGACTGACCACACTCTGGAGACTGGAAGCTAGGGAGAGCCAGAGAGATAAGTATAGATTTTGGGGAAAGGTTGACCCATGCTTGTTCCCCTGACTTCAGTTTTCAGGTCCCAGTGCTGAGCAGATGCGGAAGACCTACTCAGAATTCTGCAGCCGCCATACCAAGGCCTTAAAGCTCTATAAGGAGCTATATGCCCGGGACAAACGCTTCCAGCAGTTCATCCGGGTGAGCAGATCTCCTAGGGATCTATGTTAAGGGCTCCTCTCACAGCCCAAACCCTGTAGCACCCCATAAGTGGTGTGCTGGTAAACACAAACGCCTGTGATCCCAGAGGCAAGAGAGTTGCAAGTTCAAGTCCATTCTGGGCAATTTAGCAACTTACCCTGCCTGCAAATATAAAAGCACCCAAGTGTGGTGACATGTGCCTGTGATCCTAGTACTCTGGGAAGCTGAGGCAAGAGGATTAAAAGTTTGAACCCAGCCCAGGCAACTTAGTGTCTTAGGAAAACATTTTCTCCAAACTGAAAAAGATGCTGGGAGTTATGACACAACTCTAATCCCAGCACTCAGGAGGCTGAGGCAGGAGGATTGGTGCAGGATTGCAGCCAGCCCAGTCTACATACATAGTGAGCTCAAGGCCAGCCTGAATTGCGTTGAGAGATCCTGTCTCAAGAAATACTGAAAAAAATTAAGTGGGCCAGAGATGTAGCTCAGTGTGAAGGTCCTAGGTTTAATCCCAATACCGCCCCCCTCCGGCACCCTGCCACCTGTGCACCCATTCACCCGTGGATCCTACACCCACCCCTCAGTGATAGAACAACGCATTGTGATGGTTTCCTCGCTTCTTACAATTGTGTAGCTTGATCGTCACTGCAGCCTGTAGTGGTGATGTCCACAGTTTGTGGATGTGGCTGCACAGGCCAGCGAAAGATGAGCAGCAGCACCAGGGCTTTCAGCTCCAGGCCTTTCTGCTGCCCTGAGCTCTCCCTCTTCTCTCCTAGAAAGTGACCCGCTCAGCTGTGCTGAAGCGGCACGGGGTCCAGGAGTGCATCCTGCTGGTGACCCAACGTATCACCAAATACCCAGTGCTTATCAGCCGGATCCTGCAGCATTCTCATGGTGAGGGGAGTGGGTGGGTGGGGCACAAGGCCACCTGGGCTTAGGGAAGGGGAAGGGATCAGGTGGGAAACTCTGGTGGTGTTGAAAGGTGGGATCAATCCTGCTGTCATTTAAGCCTCCATAACCAGCTGTCAGTCCATGAGCCCAGAAGGCTTCTTACCATCAGGGTCTTTGGAATCCACTCTCTTCATTGCCTTTAATAATGCAGTGTGTGGGGCCGGGGAGATGGCTCAGTGGAATAAGCGCTTCCCTGGCAAGCGCAAGGGCCTGAGTTCAATCCCCGCTTCCGTAAAAAAAATTAAAAAAAAAAAAAATAATAATGCAGTGTGTGGCAGTGATGGTGGCATCCCCATTAAAGGAAACAAGTTTTGAATTATTGCTGGGTTATTAAAGATAAAATAACTCTGAAAAAAAAAAAAAGACCCACTGGGAATTGGAGCTGGAAGGAAGCTGGCTGAGATATCACCAGTGCTGACTCTCTGGTGCCAGGGATGGAGGAGGAGCGCCAGGACCTGACAGCAGCCTTGGGGCTGGTGAAGGAGCTGCTGTCCAATGTAGACCAGGATGTGCACGAGCTGGAGAAAGGGGCCCGCCTGCAGGAGATCTACAACCGCATGGACCCTCGAGCCCAGGCTCCTGTGCCTGGCAAGGGCCCCTTTGGCCGAGAGGAGCTTTTACGGCGCAAGCTCATCCATGATGGCTGCTTGCTCTGGAAGACAGCGACAGGGCGCTTCAAAGGTCAGTGGCTTGCTTGGCAGTGGTCTTGAGTCGGATAGTGGGAGATGTGTCTGCCCTTTCACCTCTCTTTATGCAACCCTCCACCAAGGGCGAGACTGAGGGAGAGGAAAAGACACGGAGTCTGCCGCAGCAAAGCTGCTGGATAGTAGTAGATGTTTTATTTTTTTTATTTTTTATTTATTTTTGCGGTACCGGGGATTGAACTCCGGACTCTGAGCTTGCCAGGAGTAATAGATGTTTTAGATGTCACATTTCATATCCTGGACAGCACAGACTTCCTTATCAGCATGCGTTCATCTCTGTGATCCTGGCATGGCCAGAAAGCCACCAGTTTTAATGAAAACACAGAAACTTCCAGTCTAGAGGAGGGAATTAGAGTAGTTGATTTCCCCAACTGGGATTCCAGCCACCAGGGCAAGGTTGGAAGAGCTATATCGGGGATGAGGGTTATTTTCTGTGATTTGTCTGCAATGGCAGAGTCTTTTATGTCTAAATCAGGGCAAGAAAATAGCAGACCTTGCCTTTGGGAGTGAGGCTCAGGGGACAAAAGTAAACTGAACTGTGATTCCTGTGGCCAGAGCCATCCTGGGCCTCTGCACCCATGTCACAAAATCCTCACTGCCAGGACCTGGATATTGTCAGTCTTCAGCAGCCTCTTTCCTCCATCCCTTCCCTCCTTCCCATCCCTCCCACGCAGCAGCTAAGAATATAAAGCATGGGGGGTTAAAAATAGCAGGGATGGAGAGCTCTATTTCTGCAGCACTTGCAAAAGCCCTCCTCTTGTGTGTGCCCACAGTTCAGTGAGATCCCCAAGGGCAAAGGCTGAGTGTGCATTTTTCTTGACTTCAACATCCAAATTTTATAGAATGGACCTTTGCTTCTTCGTCTCTCAGTCATGGGGTTCAGGACCCCAAGACCTGAGGACCTGAGACCCTAAAGGGTAGAAAGGGAAGAGAGGAAGCGGGGCCTAGTAAGGTTAAGAAAATGGGACTATTCAAAGATGGACAGGTGAGGGCTGGCCGGCCCGGCCTTGGTTAGTGAAAGGAAATTAACTTTTCTCCATTCCTACCAAGCATATAGTGAGAGGTGGGACTACGGTCAGCTCAGGTGCCTAAAAAGACTACACTGGTTAGATGTCAGAGGCGGAACTTAGAGAAAACCCCCATGATTCACAAAAAGTCCAAACTCCTTGGGTTTGGTGGTGCAGACATGTAGTTTCAGCCACTGAGGAGCCTAAGGCAGCAGGGTCACAAGTTTAAGGCTTGGGTTACATAGTAAGAGCTTGTCTAAAAAAAAAAAAATCAATTGGGTAAGGAGTTTTCTCCAAAGATATTGAGGAAACTTGCATGGTCTCAACTAGTCCAAGAAGCTATTTTATCTGATAGCTTGTGGATCTTTGTTTTCCCGTGCATTTCTACACTGTAAAGGAGGAGGTGGTTCATATTTGTAATTCCAGCAGTTTAGGAAACTGTAGAAGGAGGATTTTAAGTTTAAAACCAGTTTGAGCAATTTAATGAAATCTTGTCTTAAAATAAATTTGTTTGTTTTTGGTGGAACCTGGGATTGAACTCAGGCCCTTGTACTTGCCAGGCAAGCGCTTATTCTACTGAGCCATCTCCCCGGCCCCTTAAAATAAAATTTGAAAAGAGGGTTAGCTCAGCAGTAGAGTGCTTGCCTAGCATTTGTATGTACGTGTGTGTCTCTCTGAGATGGTTTCACTATGTAGTTCAGGCTGGCCTTATATTCTCTGTGTAGCCCAGACTGGCCTTAAACTTGTAGTAATCCTCTTCCCTCAGCCTCTCGAGTGCTGGGATTGCAAGTATGCAACATTAAGCCTGGCTCTAGCATTTATGAAGTCTTGGGTTATATTGTTGGATCCTCAGTACTTCCCAACTACAGACACACACATACACACGAAAAATGAGGGGGTGGGAAGTCCACAGTGCTGGAGAAGGCAACAAGAGGGAAGAGAAAGCAGGTTAAGGAGAATCAGAAGTTTTATCTGATGGGTTTTATCTGGGCCTTGGGAAAGAGGGAAATAGCTGCGCAGGGCTCTGGTGCAGACCACGCTCTTGCCTCAATGTCCCTGACAGATGTGCTGATGCTGCTGATGACAGACGTGCTAGTGTTTCTCCAGGAGAAGGACCAGAAGTACATCTTTCCTGCCCTGGTGAGACCTTTGCTCTCTTTACTTACCACAGACAAGTATTTTGTTTGGGTCCTTTCCAAGCCCGAGAAGGCCCAGAGCCCTCCAGACTCAAAACAACTATTGTGGATGTGTCATGAAAAAGAATAGCTAATGGATATTGTTACCAAGCACACAAGGGAAGTCTGTTGTTAGCACCATCATCATTTTGTAAATAATCAAAGTAAAGCTTAAAGTTAAATAAGTTGTGTGGTATGACGTGTGTCTAGGTCCTTTCTGGCTGGTCTCTTGTGGAATGTCTTCAATCCTTCAGGCCTTCCAGGACTAAAGGCCCAAATCATGGATTCCGAGGCTCAATTCTTCCTTTCCCCTGACTGGCAGGACAAGCCATCAGTGGTGTCACTGCAGAATCTGATCGTACGGGACATTGCCAACCAGGAGAAAGGGATGTTTCTCATCAGCGCAGCCCCACCTGAGATGTATGAGGTTCACACAGCATCACGGGATGACCGTAGCACCTGGATCCGCGTCATTCAGCAGAGTGTGCGCATGTGAGTATGTGCCTGCTGCCGTCGTGTGCCTGTGGCCTTCAGGTACCTGAGGCAGGGAGTTCCAAGCTCAGGATTCCCCAGAAATAGGTCCCAGCGTTCAGTGGTGGGCTCAGAGACAATATGCCCAAGATAAGAAAGGCCACCTATGTCGTCATACAAAGTCACATTTTATGTACTGCAACCCCAGCTACCTTTCAAATGCAGCATCTGTGGACAAGCAGAAGAGTACTTAGAAGCTGTCATGCGGTTTCCTATCTATTGGCCACCAGGACAGTTTCAGCTGTGTTCAAATCTTGGTTTGCAAGCAGAGGGCATCATTTGGATCACATTGTACCTAACCTTTGTTTTCTGCAAATGATTGAAAGTGGGTAATGAAAGCACTAACACTATAGAGATGGTGAACAATCTCTTCCACAACTCAGTGTGATAGAGACAAGAAGAAAATTATTGGGCATCCTAGCAGAAGCAGTCAGCTGTGGATCTAACTGTAATAGGGAGGAAAGTCAGTAAATGACAGGCAAAATGTTAAAAGTGGTTGCTTTTGCTCTTTTTCTATTTTGGATTTTTTTTTTTTTT